TTCTTTTCCTTTTTTACCATTAACTTACTTTTTTACTTTTTCCTTTTTTAAAAAAAAACTAGTAAATTTTTTTTAGATTTTAATTTTTTTGACAGATCCATTTAATACCAAGCATATATCACATGTTTGATTTTTTTTTCATTCTTTTTACCTTTCCCTTTTTCTAATTTTTTACTTTTTTAATAATTTTTTTTAGATTTTACTTTTTTGTGAAATGGTTTTTTCCTTTTTCTTTTTTAATATTTAACTTTTTTTAAAAAAAAATACCAAAAAATATTTTAAAAATAATTTTACTTTTTTGTGTATGGAACCCACTAATTTCAAACATTTTTTTTTTTTTTGCGTTTAGTTGTTACCCTTTTTTTTTATAAAATTTTAATATTTTTAGGATTTTAATAATTTTTAGTACTAATTTGATACTATATGTATGCCACATGTTTGTTTTTTACTATTTTCTTTTCTAATTTTTCACATATCCAATAAATATTTTTTAGATTTTAATTGTTTTGAGACTCACTTGATATCAATAGTATACTACGTGTTAAATCATTTGATTCTTTTTATTTAACTTTTTTTTTATTTATTTTCTATTTGCTTTTTATCTTTTTCTTTTTGTTTTTAATAAATATTTTTAAATAATTTAAGATTTTTCATATGGGCTCATTTGATATTATTATTAAAAAAATATATTTTTTATTATTCTTTCTTTTCTACTTTATATTTAATAAATATTTTTAAAACATTTTAAAATTTTTTCATATAGGCTCGTTTAATATTAGTCCACCCCTTTTCTTCCTTTTATTGTGCCATATGGCATAAGCTCATCCTTCTTTTTTTTTATTTTTTTTATTTTTTAAAAAATTTTATTTTTATTCAAAAATTTTAAAATTTTTTCAATTTAAAAAATTTTTTATAAACATATTTTTAAATATTTCAAATTTGAAATGAGACCCATTTATCAGCTTTGTTTCCATTTTTCTTTATAATTTTTTTCTTTTTTTAAAATTTATTATTGGATTAATTTTGTTTTTGTATGGAGCTTAACTCGAGTACTATGTGGTAGTTTTCATTTTTTTTAATAAAATTTTAAAATTTTTAAAACTTTTTATTACTTTATATGTTTTTTTTATATGTTTAATAATATGCGTCCATTTAAATTTTTATAAATGGGACCTACCTCATACCAATTTTTTTTTACTTTTTCTCTTTTGCTATTTTTTTTATATTTATTTTTTAAATTTTAAATTTTCATGGGATTCACTTGATATCAAAGTTATACCATGTATTTATTTATTTTTCTTTTTTACCTTTCTCATTTTTCTAATTTTTGTGGTTAAATATATATTTGACTCCTAAACTTTATACTTTCTATCACATTGGTACCTAAAAAATTATAAGTACCACATTGGTATCTAAATTTTTATTATGTTATCACATTGGTTCCTGCGAGTGACATTGTTAGTCAGCTTTGCTGACCTGACATAAACATGCAATAAGAAATTGAAACATATAAAAAAAGGCCTAACTAATGCCACATTATCAATATCACATCAGCATAAAAAAGAAAAATTCTAACAAACTAATTCTAAAAAATTTTAAAAATTTTAAAAAATGTTAAAAAATTCTAACAAATTTTTAAAAATTAAAAATAAAAAAATCTCAAAAATACAAAAAAGTTTTTAAAATTTTCCAAAAATTGCTTTTTAATTTTTTAAAAATTTTAAAATTTTCAAAAGTTTTTAAAAAATTTTAAAAACTTCAAAAATATTATAAAAAATTCTAAAAATTTTTAAAAAGTTCTAAAAAAAAAATCTAAAATCATTTAATTTTTTAATTTCTAGAAGAAATAAAACATCAAAAATTGTAAAAAATAAATTTTTAAAAAAATTCTATATTTTTTAAAAATATATTCTAATAAATTTCTAAAATTTTTAAAAATTTTTAAAAAAATTCTTAACAATTGGAAACGTTTTTTAAAAATTTAAATATATAAAAAATTTCAAAAAAATAATAAATTTATTTTAAAAATTAAAAAGAATTTTTAAAAAATTTAAAATATTCTAATAAGTTTTTAAAATTTCTAAAAAATTTTAAAACAACTAAAAAATTCTAAAAAATTCAAAAGATTTTTGAAAATTTCTAAAACATTTTAAATTTTTTTAAAAATTTATAAAAAAAATTAAAAATGAAATATTTAACAAATTATAAAAATTATCTCAATTTGAAAGTTTTAAAAATTTTTGAAAATTTTAAATCAAATAAAAAATGAAAATAAAAATTAAATTTTCTTAAAGTTAAAAAGAATCACAAAATCTTAAAAAAATTGAAAAAAAAAACAGAAAGAAAATTTAAAAGCGTTTTAAAAAATTAAACAATTTCAAAAGTTTCAAACATTTAAAGTTGAAATCTAAAAGTAAGAGACTTAAAAATTGACTAAAAATTAAAAATAAAAAATTTAAAAATAAAAAATGTATAAAGAATAAAATTGTAAGATTAAAAGATGAACAAATTTCAGAAAATTTTAAAAACTTTTAGAATTTTTAAAATTTTCAAAATTTTTGAAGAAAATTTTTTATTTTTTATTTTAGTTATTTTTAAATTTTTGTGAATTTTATTTAATGTTAAGGAAATTTTATTTTTCGTAAAATCATCATTTTTGTATTTTTTAAATTTTTTGAATTTTTTTTCTAAATTTTTGAATTTTTAAAAAAATTTTAAGTTTCCTTTATTCTTTTAGAATTTTTTAAAAATTCAAAAAAGTTTTACAATTCTTTAAAAGTTTTTTAAAGTTTTAAAAACTTTTAGAATATCTTTTAGAATTTTTAAAAATTTTATAGATTTGTTTATTTTTTAAATTTTTTGGAATTTAAAAAAAAATTTAAAATTATTTTAAAATTATTGTAAAATTTTAAGAATTCTTTTATATTTTTTCAAAAATTTCAACATTTTTTAAATTATTTATACTTTCAAAATTTTTAAAGTTATTTTAGATTCTTGAAAAAAATTTTAGAAGTTTTTTTATTTTTGTTTTGATTGTTTTAAATTTTTAAAAATTTTATAAAATTTTTTAAAAATTATTTTAAAATTTTTTAAAAAAATTAAAACTATTTTAAAATTATTAAAATTTTTATAATTTTTTATATTTTTTAATATTTTTTAAAATTTTGTGATTTTTTTATAATTTTTTATGATTTTTTTTAATGATAATGTGACATTGATGATAAGGTTTACTGGATTTTTTTACTTGTATTAGCATCTTATAAGATATTCATGGCACGTTAGTAAAATTGATTAACAATATTAATTCAAGCTACCAGGTATGATTATGAATTGAAAGTTTAAGTATAAATTTGGTAATTATAATTCTTTAAGTACCAATGTGACAGAAAGTATAAAGTTCTTGAATAAAAAATGTATTCAACAATTTTCTTTTATATATTGATTAAATTTTTAAAGATTTTAAATTTTTTTGTGTGACCACTTAATACCTAAAATAGTTAAGTATTAAGTTATTTGCTTCTTTTTTCTTGTTTTACTTTTGTAATATTATAAAATTTTTTAGTGATGTCCATTTGTTGTTATTATTAAAAACATTTTTTATTATCTATTTAATTATATGTACGTATAATATTAATTAAGTTATTATTTTATAGCTTATTTTAATATATTAATATTTTAAACTTAATTTGAATATTCATATGATAGTCTGATGGTATCTCTTTTTTTTTTTCTTTTTTTATTAATTAAGTTATTATTTTATAGCTTATTTTAATATATTAATATTTTAAACTTAATTTGAATATTCATATGGTAGTCTATGGTATCTTTTTTTCTTTGTTTATTTCTTTTTTTTTTCTTTTAATTGTTATTTTTTTAATTTTTAATAATTAAATTATTATTTAATACCTTAATTTAATATATTAATATTTAAAACTCAATTAGAATGTCATGTTAAGCCCTAATGAGCTCTTTTTTTTTCATTTATTTTTTTTGTTTTTATGGTTTTTTATGTTAAATTAATTTTATGCAAAAAAGAAAAAAAAAGATGCAAATGAAAATGTCAAAATGGTACCTTCAATTGGCTTTTTATGTTTCACATTTTTTATTTTTAGTTAGATAAATTTTTAAAAAAAATATACCAATTAATAGAAATGTCAAAATAATTTGTTCAAAAACTTTTGATCAATCTAGATCAGAAAGCGATTCTTTAAATCGAAATTAGGTTTGAAGTAAATGAGTTTTTTTTAAAAAATGAGATAAAGGCAAAAGTATATTTAGAATATTCTGTGTCAATCCATTTTTTTTTATATATATTATTTTTAATTTTATTATACGTATTATATTAATAAAACTATTATTTGATACCTTAATTTTAAAAATTAATATTTTAAGTTTAATGAAAATGTCTATGTAGTACCTCTTATAAACCTTTTTTTTTATTTTTTATTTTTCCTTTACTTTTTTTTTTTGTTTTTGTGTTTTTCATTTTTGCATTTTTTATTTTTTCATTAAATAAATTTTATGAGAAAAATGAAGTCAATTGAAATATTCAAATGTTATCTCCAAATAGCTTTTTTCGATCTTTGTTTTTTTTTTTAAAATTTTTTTAATTTAATAAATTTTACAAAAAAATTAATAAATAAAAAAAAAATAATCTGCAGCATTACAGGTAACGATGGCAATGTGTTGAGGTGGAGCGAATTTTTGCTCATCTTAAATGTGACCTGATTTTATATTTATAATATTTAAAATTAACTTAATTTGAAATTTTTTTAATTTTTTATATTAAAATTTGACTCAATCTGTCATTATATAAAATTACATTCGACTTAAAATTAATAAATTTTTTTAAATATACATATAAACTTAAATAAATATAAAATTAAATAAATAATAAAAAATTTATATACATATATATATATATATATATATATATATGCACTAGATTGAGTTGGGATAGATTTACCTTAAACTCAATTTCGATTTTTTTATTACCACTTAATTTGACCCAAAACACAATTTAAAAAAAAAATCAATTCTATTAGGTCGAATTGATCAAAACTAGATGAAATCGGATCAATTGCCATCCCTAATTGCGGGTATTATGTTCGTAATGATAACTGAAATCAAATTTATTGTACTCCAAAAGGAAAAAGAGTAAACAGAAGGGACGCCAATGACTCTTGGGTCAAGTCCAAGCTTCAAGAATTTTTCTTTTTCTTTCATCAAGCTCGAGATTTAAGAGGGCGATTAAGACTAAAACATAAATCACGAAAAGAAAAAAAGAAAAAAATACTTGCAGTCTTTCATGGGGACATCACCGTGGCTATGTTGTAAACACGGTATCCCCGTTTGTGTTGCGGTCTTCTTTTTCCTGGTTGTTTCTTCTGTTCTGTCCAAGTCTCCTACCCTCGGTATCCATCCCTTAGGTATTCCAAATTCCAAACTCCATTTCATCATTGTGATTATTATTTAGATTTTTAATTTTTTTTATAATTAATAGATAAGAAGTATTTTGATGCGGAGGTCATCAAGTGTAAGGATGGGTCCAAATCATTTACCCGAGACCGTCTTAACGATAACTTCTGTGACTGCATCGACGGCACCGATGAGCCTGGTATTTCTCTCACCTCTCCTTTATTATCACAGTCCTATTCGATTCTTTTACAGTTTAACTGAGTTGCTAGATTGCAATTGTTTGTTCAATTGGGTTGAATGGTATAGCATGTTGCAGGTTATTTTGTTTTTCAATAATCTGGACTGATAACTGCTAATTGATGGAACATTTTTGAATAATTTTCCACTGGAGACTATTGTTGGACAAGCAAAATCGTACTTAGGGTTATGAGACCTTTAAGGAAATGAAAACAACTACCATGACCATCTGTTGTCAAACATAATGAAATTAAGGATCATAACTATGAAAAAAGCTTACTAAATTTTTAAACAGTTCATCTCCATCCTTAAGGACTTCAAAGGCTATGATCTAGTTCAAAGGCGAAGCTAATGTAAGCACAGTGGATGGTTATATAATCTAATCGGCAAGGATTGTAGGGAACCTATTAAAATATGTATCTTCCCGTCTGAAACTATAAGGCCATGTACGTCTCTATTAGTAGTGTATCCCGTGGTTATTGTTGTCGCCTTTCTTTCCCATAGTCAATGAAGCTTATTGAAATTTATGGGTTCTCAGGTTCATCATAATTTGAGTCAATCTTTATTTAACTGGGGTACCAAATGTTTTATCTTTGCTCTATGATTGGTTTTTTAATCAGTTTTGGTGCTGGAGCCGGGCAGACAGTCTCAAATTTTACTTGCCGATGATATTGCTTGCATCAATTTAATTACTTAATTTTGTGCATTTTATTGATATTGGAAGTACATTGTTTATCTCTTTTCTGCAAAGATTGATTAATTCATTTGAATATTTGGAATACCTATTGTTTTTCACTTTCTTTCTTTTTTTTTTGGTTTCTGACTTGGTGAATCCCGTGGCCTCCCCTTTTGTTTGTGCAGGGACTTCAGCTTGCCCAGCAGGCAAATTTTACTGTAGGAATGCAGGAAGTATACCTCAATTAATTTTTTCTTCTCATGTTAATGATCGTTTTTGTGGTGAGTATTACTTGAAGCTTTTTTCTTCTTTATTTATGATCTTACAACTGGTTAAGGTTGCACTAGTTCTTTTGTAAACATGGATAGATGGTTCAAGCTGGAAACTAACAATGTTTTAGAAAATGTTTCATTTTCCATGGAATGGGATAGCCAGTGATCCTGATAATGGGAGAGGGTTTTTTGGGTTCCATGGTGGTGGATGTCATCCTAATAGTTAATGCCCAGAATAAATGATTGATTTAGATAACTAGGATTGCATCTTTGCATGCCTTTTTCTGTCTTGTTCCTTTTTTTTTTTTTCCTTTAAAGGACCAACTCTGCAACTGAAAACTGGTCTCTTAACAACCCCTTCTTATGGTATTGAAACTTTTTTCTACCACCTGGTCTTATTGCATCTCAACTTATTTACAGTCTTTATTCCATCCAAATTGTTGACCTGCTAATGGGCTGGGTTTGCAGGTGTAGATTTCAGCTCAATGTTTTGTTGAATTCTGTGGTTATGAGCCTGATATATTAGTAGTCAGTGAGATTTGCTGTAATTTGGTTGTTTGTTAAATTAATGTGTCATCTGTTCAGATTGCTGTGATGGAAGTGATGAGTATGATGGTGGCATCATGTGTCCTAACACATGCATCATGGGTGGTAATATCGAGTATAAATCTGAAAATTATATTTCTGCAACAAGTCATCTGCACTCTACTAAACTGAAGGAAAGGAAAATTGGAATTACTTTGGATGATTTGATTCAGACACTTCCAGGTATTTAAAATCATTCATGAAACTGAATCAATCATGATCTAATGGTTAGACTTATAAAGCTCACTTAAAATGTGTGTTTCAATTTATTTGGTTTTAGTTTCATTTCATCTTGTTTAGAGGAAGCAAAGCTCTAACTAGGACATGGCAACAGGGCAGATATGGAGCAGGGATGCACTCCCCACACACTTGCACGCACCCTTCATTCCCAATCCTGTGTATGCCTGGTGGAAACGGGAATCCCTACTCCCTCCCAACCCTTACCCCTATGTTTGATTATACATACATATATATATATATATATATATATACATACATACATATATATATATATGGTTAAGTACACATTTGGTACCAGAAACTATAGTGAAATTGTGAATTTGGAACTTGAAGTTTAAAACTTCATAATTAGGTACTCAAATTTTAATTTCGTTAATTAGTTTGTACATTTGACACTGATGTGGCAAAACATTCATTAAAATTATTATAAATGTGTAAAAATTTTCCTGTCTTTTTTATTTTGGACTTTTCTCTTGAAATTTTTATGTTTAAAATTTATACAATAAAAATATCTCTAAGAGAGAAAGTGGGGGAAAGAGCAGAAAGGAAGTAAGAGAAGAGAGGGAAAAAGAAGGGGAACTGAGGAGGATCGGCTGGTTCGGGTAGATCAATGTCGATCAACCTCAGGTCAATCAAATCAACAGCTGATTGTTCCTCCCCTTCCCTCCTTGCCCCCTTCACTTCTTTCACTCTTCTCTTTGCCTCCTCTCCTCTCTCGCGCCAATTCCTTTTCACTTTGATTTTTTTTAAAAAAATTGTTTTTGTAAAATTTTTTAATTTAAAAATGAAAATAAAAAACATATTTTTATTTTTTGATTTTGATGTTTTGATTTTCTATTTTTTGAATTTCAAAAATAAAAAAAATTTAAGAAAGAAAAAAATTTTCATCTTTTTTCTAGTTTTCCATAAATTTTATTTTTTAGTTTCAAAATAAAAATTTCAAGAGAAAACAAATTTTTTTTTATTTTCTAAAACTTTTTTAATTGAAGAAAAATAGAAAAAAGTAAAATTACGTGATATAATTCGACACGTGGTGTAATCTTATTTATTGTTCTTTTGTTGGAAGTAAAGTTGGAGTACCTGATTATGAATTTTTAAACTTTAGCTATCAAGTTTGCAATTTTACATATCAAACTACAAGATTACCATATCATTATATATGTATATATATATGTATGTATATGTATATATATATATGTAGTCTACAATTTTACATACCAAACTACAAGATTACCATATCATTATATGTATATGTATATGTATGTATATGTATATGTATGTATATATGTATATACATACATACATAGATGTATGTATACATACATACATATACATAGATGTATGTATACATATACATACATATACATAGATGTATGTATATGTGTATATGTATACGTACATACATATATATACACACACACACACACACTAGATGTGGTGAAAAACAACTGATTAGAATGCACGTGTGATTTCTTTTTCTCGTGTATAAATGAAAAAACAAACACTAAATTGGGGATTGGTGAATCTAGGTTTGAAGATGATAACAATGGCAGAGATGGCTCTTGGTTGTTTTCTGGTGGTTAAGTGGATACATTATAAGCGCGTGAAGTCTAAGAAAAGACATCATAGATGAAGCAATCTACCATTGGTTCACAAATTTATTTATGGTAATAATTTAGAATATCTTTTTCTTCTGTTTTTCACTTTCTTTTCCTTTTTTACCCCCATCCTTACCAAAACATGTTAATATATTCTTTAGAAGGTTCCCTTGGACGCATGTTGAGGAAGGAGTGGAGGGGTTATCCAGCCTTCTGTTTCTAACTTTACTTTTGTAATTCATCTAGACTTAGGCTTATAGGATTGAGACTATATCATTGACGTTGGTGCATCAATTGCGTAAACTTGTATAGCTGCAAAAAGGTCTAGACATAAGAGAATACTACTCAATTATAGTCGGTAGCTTTGAAATGGATTCTGTGTAATTTATGTGATCTTTTAGGTATGTGCTTTTTTGTTTCATTTTTTCGCCTCCACAATCAACATTGGAAAAAATTGCTGAGAAAATAAAAAAAAAGTGGGAAGCTGTCCACGACCCTACTTTTCTATCCTAAGCCTGAATGGTCTCCCAATAAATGGCCAAGCTTATGCAAAAATTTAAGATTCGTAGGCGAGGGTAAAATTTTGGGGTTCAATTAAAGTTCAAGTATTACACTAATAAAAAGGTTTAAAGTCCGGCCTAAAAGAATGAAAACAACTTTTATACTATTTGATGAAAGAGGTTAATTTTTGTATGATTAATGAGATTGATTTTGATAAAATTAAAAACAACAATGATGATAAGAGTAGCTATTGGAGTAATTAGATTGAGTATTGTAGCTATAAGATTGTGTATTATAATTGTGATATTAAAGTTAGTAGTAGGACATGTATTTAGATACCAATACAGTGGTGGGAATAAAGTAAAATGTAATGAAAATAGAAAATAATCATTAAAAATATTATATTAAAATTGATATAATGAAATTTATAGCATATATTTGATTTTTTTATATTAATAAATAATTAAAATTACTAAAATTTATTTAAAAATTTTGAATTGAAGAATCCAAGGTGAACAAAAAACAAAAAGGAAAAGAATGAAAAAAAAAAAGAAAGGCTAAATGCCATGGGATAAAAACATTTTAAGTAGTTATTTATTTAATATATAATTACATAAATTTATTTATATATTAAATGGCTAAATAATTAAAAATCCCTTAAAATTAAAAAAAATGAAATGTAAAGTAACAAAATGAAAGTAAAAATATACGAGTTAACAAAAATAAATAATTTGAAAGCATTTTAAGTGAAAAAAATGAAATATAAATTAATAAATAAAAATCAACAATATAAATTTAATGATCACTTAAATAATTAAAAAAATAAAAAAATAAAAGCGAAGAGAAGAGTAAAAGGTAAAAATGGAACAAAACTATGGTTGGGAAAGGGAATTTTCAATGAATTCGTAGGGGATGTGTTTGCATGATGGATTTTAAAATGGAATTTCATTTGTAAAGAGACTTTTAAAATTTTAAAATATAATATAATTATAAATTCTGTTATTTTAAATTCATGTATTACAAAATTTTAGCATTCTAAAATTATTGAAATTTCAAAAATTTCCATTCAAATGTACCTTAATGGTTCAGTTAAAATTTTAGTACCAATGCAATTCAAAAGTTTCCAATTAAATTGAAAGATGATATTCAAATGAGTGTCCAATAAACATTTGAGTGCTAATAGCACCACACTGAAAGTAATTGATAATTCAAAGGGAGTTTTAGTTAAAGAGATACAAAACCCAAAAAGTTTCTATCATGTTCATAGAGAAAATAGAAATAATTTAGTCTATAGAGAAAATAGTAAGCATCTAGTGTAGGCATAACCCACTTTTAAGACCAACACAAAATAAAATAAAATGAATAAAGGCTAAAATATTAAAAAAATTCACAATTTTTATTAAAAATTTTCTAATTAATTGATGCCGGCAAGGGGTTTAAGTATTTTAAGGTAATGTTTGAAATGGAAAGCATACTAAAGCAATTTAAAGAAGTTGGAATAATGAAAATTATGTTTTATTGAATAAAATATGGATAGGAGTTCATTACAAAAACTAGACACTAAAGGATAAAGATTCATGAATTTTTAAATTGAATTTTGGACTAATTTGACCTTAATGTCTTGTGGTCAAAAGTAGTCAAACTTGATCAAAATCTATCAAACTTGATCGAACTTGGGTCAACCTTTGAAATTAAAAATTGAATAGGACTATTAAGGCTTGGGATAAAATTATAATTTGGATTCTTAAAAACCTTGATCACACCTTTGGTAATGCCTTTTAGAGATATTTTTGTAATTTGACATTTTCTAGGTCAATTTTTCATGAAAAATTCCATATCAAATTCTGGAATGATTTCATGAATTTTAAATGCATTAAAAACGTCAATCACACCTCAAAAATATTGAAATTACCAAACTACCTGTTAAGCCCAAGGTCAATTTTTTCCAAAAAGCTACAATCATGTTTGGGTATTATATCATGAATTTGACATATTGAAAATCCTGATTGCAACATGAAAATATTGAAATTACCTAAATGCCCTTTGGTGGTATTTTCATAATTTGATCTTTTCAAGGTTGATTTTTCACGAAAAGCTCCAAATCATGATTAATTTTTTTTTTTTTTATGAATTTTGGTACATTAAAATTATAAGAATCAAAATTGGATCATAAGCTTTTAATAAAATCAAGCAAAATAGCTAAAAGCATTAATAAGGGTAAATTGGTATATTTCCATTAAGACAGCTGCACTAAAAGCAAAAATTTTGTGCTGTATTCTTTTAGAGCCATTGGTCTTGTGAGGGTTTAAGTCCTAGGGTCAAGATTGCTTGCTTGATTATTAAGCTTGAGGGAGAAATGAGAATTATTTTGGCCTTTAGATGAGATTTGATCAAATAGTTAGGACATGAAGATTTGGCCTTTAGATTCATTATAAAAGGTTGGGAATTAGGAAGAAGGCAATAGCAGAGTGATGTGAAAGGAAAAAAAAAAGAAAAAAAAATTGGAGAAATGTTGGAAGGTATAATTTTTCTTCACTTTCATGCATATTCATGCAAGCTTTCATATTCGTTCATGTAGTTTTCTTTTACTTTTTATGATACTTTAAGAGGAGATAACTTTTCCCATAATTGTTTTCTTCACCATTTTCACTCTTGATTCAATAATTCACCCTACCAAGTTAATGGTATGGGTTGAAACAAAGAAGAATAAAAGAAATAACAAAATCCACATAAGGAGTCCGTGGCTAATGTTTTCCCATAGCTTGGCCGAAACTCCCCTTGTCTTTGGCTTGTTATTTGTTTGTTTGTCTAGAGATATTATGGTATGCTTGTGATTTTAAAGATTGTTACTTTCATGTTAGTTTACTATTTTGGTGTTTTATGTATGGAATGTTTTCTAGCATTTTCATTTTTGATAGTTCTTTACACGTTTGATAAAAATCTTTTAACAATAAAAGGTCTTTTTAAGGTAGTTTTTCAAGTGTTTGACGCATGTCCTAGATAAAGAAAATAATGGCATGTTTGTGGGAATGGCCATAACAAGCTTTTGGTCTAGCTTTCCCATTGCTTGGTTGAGACTTCCACCTTGTTTCATGGCTAAAAGTTTAACATTAAATTCATTATTGCTTTGTTTTTTAGCTAAAATTCATGTTTTCTACTTGTTTGATAAAATTTTCAAAGGGTAAAAATGTTGGATGAGTGGATTTTTAGTAGATTTAATCTTGTTTGATAAAATTTTCAAAGGATACATAGTCATGCATACTTGGCCAACACAAGAAATGTTTCAAATGGCCATGGTTTTTTGCCTTAGCATTGTTCATGGCTTGGCCAAACCTTTTTTTTTCCCTTAATCCTTATCATTTAATTTTCTTTTGTTAAGTTTATGCATGCATGGTTAGTTTTTTTAGTGTTTGTGAAATTACCATAACTTTTGGCTTTCTTTTTTAGGTCCATTTCATGCATCAAATATTTACGCTTAGCATTGATACTATGTTTAATCATTTTCTCACATGCATCACTTATGCAACCAACCCCCAACCGCCAAACCTTAACCTAACCTTCGAATCCTAAGCTAAAGCCTAAACCAAGGCCAAACTCTTAAACCCTAAATTGAATCCCCAAATCCCCAAACCAAACCTAAACATTCAAACCCTAAACTGAATCTCGAACCTTAAATGAAACATTTAAACCTTAAACTAAAGCCCCAAACAAAACTTTTAATCCCTAAACTCAAATCCCAAACCAAACCCAAACCCCAAACTAAACCTTAAATCAAACTCTCAAACTTAACCAAATCTTTAAACCTTAAACTAAACCTCAAGTTGAAACTAAGCCTAAACTGAACCTAAACCCTAAGCTGAAACCTGACCCAAACCGAACTTAAACCTTAAGACAAATCTTCAAACCCTAAACCATACCTCAGACGAAACCCAAACCCCAAACCCAAACCTTAGACCCTAAACCAAACCTCAAACTCAAAATTCAAACTCCAAACCAATCCCTTAAACTTAAATTCCAAACCAAACCCAAACCTCAAACTAAACCTTAGACCGAACCTAAACCCTAAATCAAACCACCAAAAGCTCAAACCCTAAATTTAAACCCTAACTTAAATCCTAAATCAAATCCAAACCCAAACCCCAATCCAAACCAAACCCTAAACCAAATCCTCAAGCTCGAAACTCAAACTCCAAACCAATCCCTTAAACTTAAACTCCAAACCAAACCCAAATTACCGATTATACCCCAAATCAACCCTAAACCCTAAATCAAATCACCAAACGCTCAAACCCTAAACTTAAACCCTAAACCAAGCCCTCAAACCCTAACCTAAATCCTAAACCAAACCCAAACTCAAACCCCAATCCAAACCAACTAAACCAAATCCTCAAACCCCAAATTGAACCCAAACCCTAAACTGAACCTTAAACCAAATCTCAAACTCTAAGCCAAACCTTAAACCTTAAAAACCAACCCTAGACTCATTTTCATGCATTTTACATTTCATTTTAATAAATTGTGACACATATTATTATGTTCATACATATTATTTACATGTTTTATGAATAAATTATTTTTAAAAAAATATATTTTTAAAAAATAAAATAAGATAATATTTCAAGTAAAAATAATTCTTATCTGGCTTAAATATGAGTGTATTCTCAATAATTATCATTTATGAGAAATATTATCTTGGTTTTATGGAAGCATTATGAAAACTCCTAAAATAAAGAGGTATTTTTGAAATTTCACCTACATATAAGGGGATGAAAAAGATGTTTCAATACTAAGGATTTTTCATCTTGATCCTAAATTATTAATTTTGATTTTCAAGAATTCAAAAATAAAATAATTTGTATTCAAAATACAAAATGAAAAATGATTTGTTTTCAAGAAATACTTTTGAGAGGGAATAAACAAAATTTAAGGAATTAACATGCAAACATCAAAGTTAGGATTATTTTTACAAAAACTCAAGGATAACATGCAATCAATTAGTATGTTTTCTAATAGGTGCTATGGGGTGCTAATCTTTTCGCACGCGTAACAGAACTCCTGAACCTAATTCCATTTTCAAAGATCAAAATATCTTTTTAATAAATTTTAAACTCGTTTTATTGTTTTATTAAAATGATAAACATTTTACGTGGCCAATCATACCTTAGAAAAAGATTGGTGGCCACTCATTTGGTTTTGAGATTTTAAAATATTTTTCACGTCTTGACGTCGGGTTCCTATACCCGTACGTTGTGACAGTTTGACGACTTGCTGGGGACAATTTTAAGGCTCAGGCCAAAGACTGATTACATGTTATCTTAAGTTTTGGTTTAATGGTCCTAGTT